ATATATATATATAATGTACAATATATTATTTATAATAGATTTATTTATTATATTAAAGCTATATTATATTTCTGTCATATTTATATTATATTATAATATTATATATATTTAGTTGATCTAATATATTTACCAAATATATAATAATATATACTATTATTTATAAAATAATATATAATATATATTTTATATATTTTTTGAGATATTTATATTATATTATAAATTATGTTGTATATATAATATATGTATTTATTATGTTATATATTCAAGGTTTTGTGTAAATTTTTTTACACCAACCAGGCGCAATCAAACGTATGAAATTATTTACGTAGTGCTTTTAAAATGTGCTACCAAAGATCGTAAAAAGAATGTATATATTTACACAGGTAAAATATTTACATACGAAAATATTTACACTAGTAAAGTGTTTACGTATGTAAATATTTCTCGGGAAATATTTTCGCGCCAACCAAACGTACCCTTAGGTCTTTTTGTGTTTTAGACTGCAGAAATGTTGGACTTGCAAGCCAGAAGTAAATTAGCAAGAAAAACAAGGGCAAAATTTTTTAGACCTTACCATAAAATGTCCAAAAATATAGATCATCCTTTAATTCAATATTGAGCATCCTTTAATTTCAAAACTTCATGTAGGTTTGTAGGTAAATTTTTCCATTTAAAAAATTCCTTAAATGGGGCGACACTTTTGAGATTAAACTTGTATTAATTTGTTTACTCTTTTATAAATTTTTTATATGGTCCACATGATCATTGGGACAATGATGGAAAGTGAGTCCCACAAAACATGTCACTAATTCAATCATACATCCCCCTCTCCCTCCACCACCATCCACTCCATTGTTTGGACGATGATGACACTTATAATCACGATACTAACCTTGTGATATTCATCATGGTAAAGCCTTACTCTTTACGGTTGTAAACAAGGTTTAAAATGACGTCAATCTTGGGTGAATCAGTACCTGCTAAATATTGGGAACCGGCAAGTTCCCCCAATAAAACAATTAGAATCAGCTCTTTCTGTTAGTGAATCAGTCAGAGCCGGCAAGTTCCCCCATAAAACAGCTGGAATCAACTGGTTTTGTCAATAAATCGGCCAACACCAGCTCCAATTTTTTTTTTTTTAGGTACTGCTTATGGAATCTAGATTGATGATTCGAATAAAAACTTTGGATGAGCGATCTGGGTTCCCAAAATGCTTTTTAAAACTTTGGCCGTAAGCATAAAAAACTCACACGTATATGACATTACAAAAGCATCTATAATCATCATGACCAAGGATTCCCACGGATCTTGAAGATCATCATCGTCCACTTGTTGATTGGACGGTGACAAAAGAGTGAGCCCACCAGAACGTAAGAACGCTCCAAATGGTGATCTCACTCTGTCATGGTCATAGATTTCCCTGGCTAAAGTTTAGTATCTTTCCAATGTTATACGTGCTTTGTATGCACGCTTGCATGTATTGGAAATGAAGAAATGCTAAAAAAAAGATAAGAAAAAAGAAGTATATATTGCAAATGAAGACTCAAACAATAGGACCACACCTTACTAAGTTAAGTGTGTACTAATATTGTATCTTCATGCTTCAACTGGTGTTTCAAAAATTGGAATGGTGCTCTAATTCTCTAGGGGTTCGAGTCCGAATGAATTACCGATTGGAATTCATTTTGATAATTCTTGAGATGGATCAGACTATATTTAAAATAATAATAATAATAATAATAATAATAATAATAATAATAATAATAATAATAATAAATTTGAAAAAGTTGAAATCAAGGGACAATTAAGTCATTTAGGGTTTTTTTTTCCTTGAAATCACCAACCCAGTATCCAGTTTGACTTGGGCGATTCTAAAGTCTCAAAAGAGGATTATGGATAACTCTTTGCCTGATAAGAAAATTAAATTATATACGGAACAAAACCGTGATAATAATCCATCAAAAACATGATCATATCATATGAAATCTGCCCTTAAAAAGTACTACTTATATTTCAACACATCCCATAATAAACTTTTCGAGATCTACAATTTTATTATGAATGGAAAATATCCATGAAAGATCAGCAAAAAAAAAACGCTAAATCATAACCGGCTGCAATCAGCAGGTGCAAAGGACAATATCTTCTTCCCAAGATCATACTCTACCACCGTATTTTGCTGCAGCCAATTGCCGAAAACGTAAAGACCATCATAAGAATCAGCATCCTCTATTTGTGACACAATGCTCAAGCAAAGCAAATCCTCATGCAAGGGATAAAATACATTACTTGCTCCCACCTTCCAGTCGGCATTGCCGGAAAAGTGGAATGTAATATCTGGAAATCCGGTGATCTTACTGGAATCTGGCACTTTGTAGCATGTCACAAACGGACCCGGAGGATTAGGGATAGTTGGATACTTGGTAATATCTTTGAATTCGTCAAGTAGTGATTGAAGGACATCAGTGGGCAGGATAGTAAGACTTGTTCCCGAATCTATGACGAACCCATATGTTCCTGATGGGAATGGAACAAACGTCCCTGGAGGAATGCCTAGCCTCTTCTCACCGACACTAATGTCCGTTAGATTCAAGAAATAGAAGGCCGGAGACTCTTCCAAATAAATTATCGGTGTGCTCGAGACGTTCGGGCCTGAGATATCGGCATTCTCACCAAAGTTCAACACACCTGTCGCGTTCTTATCAAGCCTAGAGGGGAGGCAATACGAGAATTTGTTTGAAATTGAGCTCCCTAATTGAGAGATTAGAGACAAGGGACCACCTCCGAGCCCAACTAGACCTGCCTCACCGTTTGCGCCAAAGCCCCTATTTGAGGAGCCACACCCAAACCCAAGCCCGTTGATTTCGGTACCAGTGCCACCATCAGTACTAAAAGTGGCACTAGTGCTAGTTTTTGTGGGATCAGTACGAGTACTTGTAGTGGGACTGGAACTAGGATTAGAACCAATGCTAGGTTGAAGGGATGATAAGGTGGATTTAGCGGTTTCAAAGGTGAAAGTTTCAGTCGAAAGGATGCCCCTGGATCTCGAGTCGTCGGCATATCCATAGTCATATAGGCACGATGAGCCACCACATTTGTTGTCACTCTTAAGGGCCTGGCAGAGGGTTGAGGAGCAGTCAAGGGAGCGGTATGTCGAAGATGATTTGGGGTCGAAAATCGGTGCCTTTTGCTCAAAGCAATTGGAACAAGGGAGGCATTGAGTCCATGTTAGGTCGCTCACCGTGTCGGCAATAAGCCAGTATGGCTCTGCAGGGGTCCCAATCCCGACCCTTATGAGGTACTCAGAGGGACCAGCTACAACCTCCGACTCCAATTTTGACAGTGAGGATTTGCCGGTGAGGACCGATCGGAGATGTCGGTGGCGAGAGAGGGAGCGTTGTGCAGAGAGCCTAAAGATGTCGGAGGGCGAGGCCGAGGGGTCATGTATGGGGGAGTAGGGAGAGTCACGGTGTATGAGGGCTACCTTAAATGTTGAAGAAGGGCTGGAATGAGAGAGGGGTATTGAGAGAGAGAACAGAGGGAGGGAGAGCACAAGGACACAGAAGCAGAGGTCCCTTAGGGTTGCCATGAGTTCCGTGAAGAGGAGATGTGGGGCTCTCTTAAGGGACTCTTGACTATATAATACTGGGGTAAAATGACAGCTTTATGCTTTAATGGTTTGCTAATTTCAACGTCTTCCCTCATGGGTGTGTGTGTCCGTATGTTGTTCATTTTCTAGTGTGTGCATGTATGCATTCCCTTTCGTTTACTCAAAGCATGCATGTGTATAATTACTTTCACTAACACAGATCTAGGTAAATTGACTGGTGATATCACGATTTTAAATTTGCAGGGGTAAGTTTGTTTCATGGTGGTAGAACCCCCCTACTTCGTTATCATGTTGTGGTTTTCAATCCTGTTGACACCATCCATTGTCACCTTCCAAAAAGCTAAACTCCCTAATCTATATGAAAAAACGGATAGGGCCTGGTCTTCCCCACTGAGCAGTTAGAAATAAGCTTGATTATGTTGAAGGGTAGTTTAGACATTAGATTTAAATGCAAGAGATAATTTGGGAAAGTATGTTAAGGGTAATTTTAAAATAATGTAAAAGAATTGTGTATAGATCCAAGGTCACAATTCCAAGTTTGAGAGAGTGGATTCCAAAGCATGCAATGCATGCAAATTTGAATATGGAATGAGTGAAGTCTAGAATTCTTTTGAATATTCTTGTAATTTCGTCCAAGCATATAGGGTGTATGTTATGAGAGGGAAAAATTCACTAGAATGGTGTAAAAAGAGTCTAGAAAGGTCTTAAGAGGTCTATATATACATGTACTATATTTTTATACAAGTAAAGTGAAGAAACTATGTTGATTTGGTCTCTTTGGGTGCAATAGTACAAATAGTAAAAGTAAGTCTTCTTCCTCCCTATTTCTAACAAGTGGTATCAGAGCCAAAGTACTAAAAAATTACCCCCTTGATTCAACTATAAATTCTCCTTCTCACCAAAAACAACTATGAGAAGTAGAGTATTCAAATGGAGGCATTGTTGGGGTCTCAAGATACATGGGATGTTGTTGAAAAGAGGTATATAGAACCACCAACCCCCGCAAGAAGAAGCCGATTTTGATCAAAATCAAAGAAGTGTGATAAAGGAGTTGAGAAGTTTGGACAAGAATGCTCTCTTTATTATTTATCAAGGAAATGATGCAAGCACTTTTGAGAAAATTTCTTCTGCTGCAAATTCAAAGAAGGTATGGGACATTCTTTAAAACTCTTTCAAAAGAGTTGGAAAGGTGAAAAAAGGGCACTTTCAAACTCTTAGGGCTGAGTTTGAGGAATTGCATATGAATGAATCCGAGATTATTTCAGAGTACTTCTCAAAGGTCTTGGTTGTTTTAAATCAATTGACAAGAAATGGAGAAAATATAGATGATGTTCAAGTCATGGAGAAAATACTACGGTCACTAGATCGGAAGCATGAGCACATTGTTGTAGCCATTGAAGAATCAAAAGATTTAAAGGCCATGAGTATTGATCAACCCATGTGTTCCTTACAAGCCCATGAACAAAGATTGTAAAAAAAGACTCAAAACTCTTTGTACCATGCACTACAAACAAAACTTACAATGAAGGAATAGAATGAAGAATCTCCTCATGGATGAGGCCAAAGATGTCATGGCAATAGAGGGAGAGGATGTGGAAGATGCAACTTTAACGATGGTGGCATGAGAGATCAACCCACAAGCTCAAAGAGGACGAGAACGATGTAATTTTTCACAGCCATACAATCATTCAAGGTATGAAAAATCTATTTTTCAATGTTATAATTACAAAAAATATGGCCATTATAGTTCCGAGTGTAGATACCATTCTCAAAGTGATGTATTTAAAAAAGCTAATTTTGTAGAAAAGAAAAATGTTGAAAAAGAACCAACTTAGTTACTAGCTTATAATGATAATAATAAGAATCAAATGGATACTTGGAACACTTACTTGCATCCATCTTTAATATGGATGCTTTACACTTTATAGACCGCATATGTATACTGTTTAGCCCGCATGAAACAATTTTCATGTTTTCTTTGCGTGGTCTTTATGGGAATTTGTGATATTCATTCTTTATTTTCCATTGAAATCTCAGTCGGCATGATTTGTTAATGCATGGCTTGGGTTGATTTGCCAAGGCAAAGTGCAAGTATCTGTGCATGATTTCTTATCAGTAGTTTGAAATTAAATCAAAAGATATGAATAGAGTGTTAAATTGTTTCTCTAATAGAAAATTTAATTACTTACCCCACAAAAAAAGGCTTGTGTTTTGGGCTGTTTGAAAGGAGGGATTTCCATACCCTAACACTTAGGTCTTTTGTGTTTGGCTGCGGTTTGTATAGAGCCAAGGTTCTAAACAATCAAAGCAAAGCGCACTTTTAAGTAGTTTCGAGAAATGTGGTTTTAATATTGAAAATCATTGCAATAGCCTTAAAATATATTTTCATCTTTAATTATAAAATTTAAAGCTTAAAAAATAGTGTAGATCAAGCAAATCTATGAAAACTTGAAAATCTTGATAATTGATAGTAAAAAAATGTGTTACAAGATGCACTATTTCCAAAACTTGAAATCCATTTTTTTTTCTCATGTCCATGCATCTGTTAGAAATGTGGCCTATCCGGCCCTTTTCCTCCCGGAAATTTATTTTTTCAATAATGGTACAAAAACCATATTGAAGTATATGTGAAATCCCAAGTGGTTAACGTGAGGCAATGCCATATACATTGATCCATTTTTGAGCTTTAATAGAATGTATCACTGGAGGGAAAAACCCAGTATCACCGGAGGGAAAACCTAGTGGTGTGTTTGGATTTCTTGTAATTGTGGAAATGCTTGGATGACATCCTATTATACGAGTCATTAGTGGAGTAATGATATGTTTAGCTTATTACATAGGATTAACAGTTTGGTGACAACTTGTTAATCCTAATTAGCTGACAACTTGTTAATCCTAATTAGCTGCACTTAAGGGAATTAAGGCACGAGTTACACTTGGATATCAACTCCTATAAACCATGAATGTGAGAGTTACTAAATAATGGTGTTCTCTATAAAAAGAGGTTAACCCCTCTAGAAAAGAAAGAGAAGAATAGAAAAGAGGGGAAGGAGATTCACCAAGATGACTCTCAAGTCCCTCACGTGATTTAAGGACTGTCACTGGATGGCTTGGTCTATAGGTTTTGGTATAGAACCTTAAGTTCCTCGTGTGATTTAAGGACAGATCCGAATAAGTTGTTTTCTGGATTTTAATTTTATTTATTTGTTATTATTTTTATTAGAACTAACAATGATAACTGAGCGAGGTTTGTATATTTATGTTTGTAAAAGAGGATATCCTTGTAAAAAACAGGTCTACATTAATAATGTGGGATGTGTCCTCACAACAGTTAGATTATGTTTTATGGATACGAGCCAATGGATGCATTATTATCCAATGCATTATATGTGGTTTTTCATATTATTTTTGACTTACCCTAACAAAACCATGATTGAATGACAATTAGAAATATCATACAATATTCATATAGATTTATTTTCTATGTGATTACTCTTGTATAAATTAGAAATAGACTTATCTGTGAACTTATTATTATGCAGACTGCTTAATTGAGAATTGAGTTCTTGACTTTGAACTACCAATCTGAATATCATTTCCATAAAACAAAGGTAGTTGTATATGCCAGGGAACAGTGCTTGCAGTCAATACATTTTTTAGGACCATATACCCCGGTAATTCAAGTTCTAAAGTCTGATATTTCTTACCTTCAGTGTTATCTAGTTGTTCATGTATATATAACTAAAGCATGCAACTCGCATTAACAATTCATTCTCTCTTACCTATCAGAAAAAGAAAAAGAAAAAGGAATACATTATTTCTTCTATAGGGGTCCTTTGGTTATTCCACTCATGTATGAGTAGTGAAGGATGCCGATAATATAAATCAAGTGTCGGGCACAAGAATCCTTCCAACCTATCATCTTTACAAGCCTTCAGAGTATTTTATGACCTGGTTTTTTGAAGAATATTATGATGACTAATTTACCCGAATTCTATTACAAAGCATTTGTGGTAAAGATCATTGTCTAAAATTAGAATTTAACAGGTTTCACTTATAAAGCATTTATAGTAAGTTCTTTATTACCTTAAATTAGAATTTGGTAGGTTTCAATTACAAAGCTTTTGTGGTAAGTTCTTTATTGCCTTAAATTAGGTTTCAATTATAAAGCTTTGGTGGCAAGTTCTTTATTGCCTTAAATTAGAATTTGGCAGGTTTTATTTATAAAGCTTTTGTGGTAAGTTCTTTATTACCTTAAATTAGAATTTGGCAGGTTTCAATTACAAAGCTTTTGTGGTAAGTTGTTTATTGCCTTTAATTAGTATTTGACAGGTTTCAATTATAAAGCATTTGTGGTAACTTCTCTATCGCCATAAATTAGAATTTGGCAGGTTTCAATTATAAACTATTTGTGGTAAGTTTTTTATTGCTTTAAATTAGAATTTGACAGTTTTCAATTACAAAGCTTTTGTGGTAAGTTTTTATTGCCTTAAATTAGAAATTTGTCGACATTCTATTTTATCTTAGTAGCATGAGATAAATGCAAATCAATGTGCAATCCTATTTTGAAATTTAAGTTACTCTCTCTCTCTCTCTCTATACCCAAGGATACACAAGTGTGGAGTTTGACCACATTGGCAGCGTATATGTGAAATCCTATGCAAGTAGCATGAAGCAATGCCATACACAAGGTTATTGAGTCAGAAAATCTAAGCGTGGTGTATGACCACTCTGGTAAGGTAGAAATCCCATGCAGGTAGCATGATATAATGTTATATATAAAACCATTGAGGCCAAGAAATCCAAGTGTGGTGTTTGACCACATTGGCAAGGTATATGTGAAATCCCATGTGGAAAGTATGAGGCAATGCAGTATACAAGGTTGTTGAGGCCAAGAAATCAGAGTGTGGTATATGACCACATTAGTAGCGTATATGTGAAATCCCATGCAAGCAGCATGAGGCAATGCCATATACAAGGCTGTGGAGGCCAGTAAATCTAAAAGTGGTGTGTGATTACACAAGCTGCGCATATGAAAATCCCACGTGGAAAGCATGAGGCAATGTCATGTACAGGATTTTAAAGGGCATTCAGGCCAAGTGAAAGTTGTTGGGAATGTGGCCTATCAGGCCTTTTTCCTCACAAAAATTTATTTTTTCAATAATGGTACAAAAGCCATATTGAAGTATATGTGACGTCCCATGTGGTTAACATGAGGCAATGCTATATACATTGATCCATTTTTGAGCTTCAATAGAATGTATCACTGGACGGAAAATCCAATGGTGTGTTTGGAGTCCTTGTAAATTGTGGGAATGTTTAGACGACATCCTATTATATGAGTCATTAGTGGACTAATGACGTGTTTAGCTTATTACATAGGATTAACAGTTTGGTGACAACTTGTTAATCCTAATTAGCTGCACTTAAGGGAATTAAGGCACGAGTTACACTTGGATCTCAACTCCTATAGACCATGAATGTGAGAGTTACTAAATAAAGATGTTCTCTATAATAGGGGGTTAACCCCTCTAGAAAAGAAAGAGAAGGATAGAAAAGAGGTGAAGGAGATTCACCAAGAGGACTCTCAAGGTAGTCTGTCACTTAATGGCTTGGTCTATAGGTTTTGGTATGAAACCTTAGGTCCTTCGTGTGATTTAAGGATAGATCCAAGTAAACTTTTTTATCAATTTCAATTTTATGTATTTGTTATTATTTTTATTGGGACTATCAACATGTTGATGTCGAGATGATAAATTTGAGGATATTTAGATATCAAAACCACTTCTTGTAGTGAAAGTTTCTGAGGTGGGATCTAATTTGATTGTTTGGAGCCTCGGCTCTATATAAACGTTTTTCTTTGTGTTTTAGACCACAAAAATGTTCAACTTGCAAATCAGGAGTAAATCAGCAAGAAAAATAAGGCTAAATTGGCCTCAGTTTTTTTTACAATTTAAAAATTTTAATAACTGGTTTGAAAATTCAGATTGCTAATCTAGATTTTTGACCTGCCGAACTAGATTAGAAATTTGGATGACTAATCTGAGTCACGAGTCCGATTTCTAAAACCTTAAGCTATAAATATCACAAACTCAAGTGTATATGACATTGTAAAAGCATCTAAAGTCATCATGACCAAAGACTTCTAAGGATCTTGAAGATCATCATCGTCCACTTGTTGACTGGACAGTGATGAAGGAGAGTGAGCCCACCAAAACATGAGAACACTCCAAATGGTGGTCTCACTCTAACAGGTGATAGCCCTCGTGATCATAGATTTATTATGCTCATGTGGACCACATAATGCTTTCCCTTGGCTAAAGGTAAATTTCTTTCCAACGTGCCTTGCATGCATGTATGTATTGCAAATTATTCACATTATACATCATATATAAATATCATATACTATATTATAATGAACTAATATATTTAGAACATTATATATAATATATAATATTTATATAATAATATATATATTATTGTAATAATAATAAATAAATACATAATGTCCAATATATTATTTATAATAGATATATTTATTATATTAAATATATATTCTAAATCTATATAATATATAAATATGAACATTAAGATAAATATTACATTATGTATTATATTTAATACAAATATACATTAATAAAATAAATGTAAAGTATATTATATTATAATATATATATATATTATTTTTATAAATTATCTAAAATCAATGTTTTGTAATAGATATATTTATTACATTAAATATAGAGAAATGATTGTGTAGGATCTTCCCCCATCCATGTGTGTAGGACCCCAAAGGATCACCATTAAAGTTAGCATGGATCTATAAAAAAGTCTAGTCCCACACCTATGTGATAACTTTCTAGAGATCTGTGCCAACTTTAATGGTGATCTTTTGAGGTCCTACTCACATGGGTGGGGGAGGGTCCTATGGGATCATTACTCTTAAATATATATCATAAATATATAAATATTAAATATTATGTTATAATAAAAGTTATATTATATATTATATATTATATATATAATATTTTTTTATATAAAATATATTCTATTATGTTATGTTTTTTTTTTGCTAAAGGTAAGCAATATTATTAATAAATAGATGGATACAAAATTTTACATCTAAGCATTCTTAGACGGAAATACAATAGTACAAAAAACAACTGAACACCACCTTCGGCAAAGCCATCAGCAGTGTTAATAGTCGACTAAGTAATGAATCAAAATCTTTTGTACTCAATGAGATCCCAAGTGATCTCAGTCCGAGCATAATTAGATGGATAGTCCCAAAAATTGGTCAGTCGAGAATATGTAGCTTTCTTTGCTAGTAGGTCAGCCACATTGTTTCCTTCCCTGAAGATGTGTGTTATCTTCCAAAGTATATCATCCAAATAAGTCCGAAGGATAAGCAATTTTTGTGAAAATTTCCATGGGATTTTTCTGCCTTTAATTGCTTCAATAACAACTATTGAGTCACATTCTATCAAAAACCTTTCCACACCTTTCTCCTTTGCAATCTCAATACCTTGAAACAGAGCAGAAAATTCTGCGAAGAAATTTGTTGTATTACTCAGATACGATGAAAAAGTCCAACTTGATATGCCCATTGAATTTCTGAAAACACCACCCGCCCCAGAATGATTCGGATTGCCCAGAGCACAACCATCAACATTTAGCTTGAACCATCCTTCGACAGGCTTGCTCCATATGATTGCCACGGGAGTTTTTGGCCTTGACCGTCCCTCAGGGATATCAAAGGTGCTCAAGATTTGGAGATCTAAAGGAATTTTCGGTGATAAGTTCTTCATCCCTCTTGCAGCTTCCATAATGTCTTTTTTGATACTTGTGATGACCACAAGGGATATCCTCTTTTGTATATTAAATCGTCTTGAGTTCCTCTCCCCCAGATGTGGTATTGCATAAGTATAAATCCACTTCTCGAGATTTGTGGAAAAGGTAGTTGTTCTACCTTGTTGTTCCGCCACTGAGATAGATCCTACAAATTTAAAACATTCGGCCACACCTGTATGCCAAATATCTTCAAGAACCATCTTGAAGCATAGCAAACATTGAGAGGCTAAAGGAATTCCTTTGGAAGTAAAGGAATCATCAGTAGGTAACTTTAACTGCATAAGCCTCCAGCCAAAGACTATGTGTCTTGGCTGTAAATGTGGTTGCCAAACAATTGAATACCAAGAAACCTGGTTGCTTTTCTCTCGAAAAGTTTCCCATGTAGAGCGGGAGGAAAATAACCCAGACAATGTAGGTTTCCAAATACAAACCCGAGATGAAATTGGATACCCTTGCATTAAAGTTTCGAAACACCGTAGCATTAAGAGCTGAAGCTTCTGCTCTAGTAATTTCCCCCATCCACTTGTCCTTCCAAAAATTTATCTTGGAACCATCACCAATAATCCAGTGCTCATTATCCGTAACCAAGTCCCAAACTTTTAGGATGCCAGACCAGATAGAAGAGGAACAAGACTTTTTGATTGATCCATCTTGCCTTAGATAGTTAGCTCTCATAGAGTTGCCAAACATTGTATCTTCATGTTTAATTGATCAGCATACCTTTGCAAGAAGGAATTTGTTAATGTCCCTCAATTTGTGCACACCAAGCCCACCTTTGACTTTTGGCTTACAAATTCGGTCCCATTTGACAGTAATCAATTTTGAATTATCAGGGTCCCCAGACCAAATAAAATATTCTCATCCATCGTTCCATAAGTGCAATGATCGAGGATGGCCACCAATAAATAGAAAAGTTGTGTATTGGAGACTAATCACCATCGACTTGATTAGTTGAACTCTACCTGCCAAAGAGAGTAATTTACCTTTCCGGCTTGAAATTCTGGCTTTAAATTTGTCCACCATTTCCAAGATGTGCTCTTTTTTAAACCGGCCCTTGAAGATATTGATACCAAGATACTTTGTTAGTAAGCAACATTCAGTAAATTTCAAAATTCTAAATACCTCATTTTTCCTTGTGCCAGGAATTCTTCCAAAGAAAATCTCAATCTTTCCCTGATACATCAACTGACCAGAATACTTTTGATAATAGACAAGAAAGCTCTTCATGTTTTTTATATGTCTGATAACTGCATTCATAAAAATAAAAACATCATCAGCAAAAAGGAGATGTGTGGGTACCTTGGAATTCCTTTGTCCTGGAAGAGCTTTAATTTTGCCCTTTTCTCTTAGGTTAGAAATACCCCTGCATAGAACTTCTTTTGCAATGATGAAGAGTAATGGTGCTAAAGGATCACCGTGGTGAAGGCCTCTTTCAGCTTTGAAAAACCCATATGAACCACCATTCACATGCACAAAAATATTGGCCGAAATTAAAATTTGTCTAACCCAATGAATCCACTTATCAGCAAAACAAAAATTTTCCAATACATCAAAAAGAAATTCCCATTCCAGGGAATCATAAGCCTTTTGTATATCAATTTTAATTCTCATAGACCCACCACGAGACTTAATAGGAATTACATTGGCCAGTTTAGATGCAAGGGAAATGTTTGAGAAAATAACTTTACCCTTTTGGAAAGCCCCTTGCTCTTCAGATATCAATTTGGGAAGTAAGGATGCCAGTCTTGAAGCCATAATTTTCGGAATGATCTTGAAGAAGAAGTTTCCCATACAGATTGGTCTAAATAAATCTAGAGATTTAGCACCCTCAACTTTAGGAATCGAAATGATGAAGTTATTATTGAAGCCTTTCATAATAATTCCTTCCTGGAAGATGTTCCGGATTTTCCCATAATGTTGTTTATTATTTTTAACCAAGTTGTGACTTACATTACGGTATTTTTTTGCTTAGTATTCTTTCATTTATTTAGAAAACTAAATTTGTACCCATGAGGATGTATGTCGAGCTATTATTTTTCATTGAGATGTAATGTCCAAATGACATTAAAATATTTAATGATGTATCATGTTAGATTGAATTATCAAATTGGTGATAGTTGTTCATTAGATAGTGGGAGTAAATCATCATTTATGAAATTAGAATTGAATTTGTTAGCTCTATAATTATCAATGCACATTAAGAAAGTGAGAGCAATTACTGATCTAGCATGCTAGACTACATTGGACTAATTTTTATTATTATGTTGACAACCACATATTGAGAATAGTGGGAGCCATTATTGAATCGTTTGATAACATCATCGATTTGAAACTTACTAAACATGTCAAAAAGAAATGATACTATATTTCTTTCTTTTATTATTGTTAAGGTTGAGACCACTTGAACATTTCTTTATGTATGTAATAATACCAACAACTTTGTCAAATTATTATTACTTTTATTATTTTGACCTATGATTCGAATCTGAGCTTTGGACTTAAAAACCAGTTGTGAACGATATGTTTAAGAAGTAAGCGAAAGCAATAGGCCTTTTTCTCTTGGCTAAAATATAGATGTAAATAAAATTCAATGTGTTGGTGAATAATTGGTATGAAATATGAGAAATCTCATGCAAGTAGCATGAGACAATGCCATATACAAAACAATTGAGGCCAGAAATCCAAGTATAATATTTGACCATATTGGCGGGGTAAATGTGAAATCCCATGCAAGTAGCATGGGGCAATGCCATATACAAGGTATTGAGGCCAGGAAATCAAGTGTGGTATATGACCACATTGGTAAGGTATCTGAGAAATCCCATACAGGTAGCATGAGGCAATGCCATATACAAAACCATTGAGGTCAAGAAATCCAAGTGTGGTGTCTGACCACATTGGCAAGGTATATGTGAAATCTCATGCAAGTAGCATGAGGCAATGTCATATACAAGGTTATTGAGGTCAGGAAATCTAAGCGTGGTGTATGACCACTTTGGTAAGGTATATGAGAAATCTCATGTAAGTAGCATGAGGCAATGCCATATATAAAACCATTGAGGCCAAGAAATCCAAGGTGGTGTTTGACCACATTGGCAAGGTTTATGTGAAATCCCAAGTGGAAAGCATGAGGAAATGCCATGTACAAGGTTGTTGGGGCCAAGAAATCTAAGTATGGTATATGACCACATTAGTAGGGTATATGTGAAATCCCAAGCAAGTAGCAAGAGGCAATGCCATATATAAGGTTGTGAAGTCTAAGAAATCTAAAAGTGGTGTGTGACTACACAGGCTGAGTTTATGAAAATCCCATGTAGAAAGCATGAGGCAATGTCTTGTACAAGATGTTAAAGGGCATTAAGGACAAGTGGGAGTTATTGGAAATGTGACCTATCAGGCCTTTTTCCTCCCGGAAAATTATTTTTTCAATAATGGTACAAAAGCCATGTTGAGATATATGTGAAATCCCATGTGGTTAACATGAGGCAATGACATATACATTGATCCTTTTTTGAGCTTTAATAAGATATATCACTGGAGGGAACCCCAATGGTGTGTTTTGATTACTTGTAAATTGTGGGAATTCTTGGATGATATCCTATTATATGAGTCATTGAACTAATGACATGTTTAGATTATTACATAAGAATTAACAATTTGGTGACAACTTGTTAATCCTAATTAGTTGCACTTAACGGAATTAAGGCAGGAGTTACACTTGGATCTCAACTCCTATAGACCATGAATGTGCGAGTTACTAAATAAAGGTGTTCTCTATAAAAGGAGGTTAGCCTCTCTAGAAAAGAAAGAGAAGGATAGAAAAGAGGTGAAGGAGATTCACCAAGAGGACTCTTAAGGTAGTCTGTCACCGAATGGCTTGGTCTATAGGTTTTGGTATAGAACCTTAAGTCCCTCGTGTGATTTAAGGATAGATCCGAGTAAACTGTTTTATCAATTTCAATTTTATTTATTTGTTATTATTTTTATTGGGACTAACAACATCGTGATGTCAAGATGATAAATTGAGGATATTTGGATATCAAAACCACTTCATCTAGTGAAATTTTTTGAGGTGGGCTCTAATTTGATTGTTTGGAGTCTCGGCTCTATATAAACTTTTTCCTTTGTCTTATAGACCGCAAAAATGTTCAACTTGCATATCAGCAGTAAATCAACAAGAAAAATAAGGCTAAATTGTTCTCACTTTTTTTACAATTTTAAAATTTAATAACTGGTTGGAAAATTGAGATTGCTAATCCAAATTTTCGAGCTGCCGAACTAGATCAGAAATTCAGATGAGCAATCCTAGTTACGAGTCCGTTTTCTAAAACCTTAGGCTATAAATATCACAAACTCAGGTGTATGTGACATTGTAAAAGCATTTAAAGTCATCATGACCAAAGACTTCTAAGGATCTTGAAGATCATCATCGTCCACTTGTTGGCTAGACAGTGATGAAAGAGAGTCAGCCCACCAGAACATGAGAACACTCCATATGGTGGTCTCACTCTCACGGGTGGTAGCCCTCATGATCATAGATTTATTATGCTCATACAGACCGTAGAATGCTTTCCCTTGGCTAAAGTTAAATTTCTTTCCAACGTGCCTTGCATGCATGCATGATTTGCAAATGAAGAAATATAAAATACGACCATATCTTACTAAATTAGAGAATGGCTTGGAGTTTTAGTGGTAGTATTGCCGTGCTCCATGATGAGGTATTGACCTCCATTCTCACCAAAGGGTAGGGCTCCAAAAATCTTACCACTTTTTTTTTTTACCTTATTAAGTTAGTTGTGTATTAGTCTTGCATGCTTTCTACTAGTGTTTAAAAAATTGGAATGGTGCTCTAATTCCCTAGGGGTGCGATTCGAATTCACTCCAGTGATTCTTGATTTGGATCGGATTATATTAAAAAAAATATAAAAATTAAAAACTTGAAATCTCGGAGAATTATATCATTTTAGGGTTTTTTTTGCATGAAATTGCCAACCCCCCTATCCGGTCCGACTCCAGCGATTCCCAAGTCTCAACGGCGATTTATGTTCACTATTTGCGTGCTAAAAAATTATATTTGAGAAAAAAAAGAACGTGATAATAATCATAGATTTATGAAGTGGGAACATAGCACATGAAATCTTTTTTATAAAAGTGCTACTTATATTCACCCCATAATGTCAGGCATCTTATTTCTTCCCATAATAAACTTTTCGAGGTCTACCATTTTACCATGAATACAAAATAGCCATGAAAGACCAGAAAAAAACCTTAAATCATGGCCCCCTATAACTGGCTACAGTGAGCATGTGCAAAGGACAATCTCTTCTCCCCAAGATCATACTCGACCACCATATTTTGCTGCTGCCAATTTCTGAAAATGAAAGGACCACATCATCAGTGGTAACAATGGCCAAGCAAATCACATCGTCATGCAAGGGATAGAATACATTACTTGGTCCCATCTTCCAGTTGGTAGCGTCGGAAAAGTGGAACGTAATATCTAGTAATCCGGTATTCTTACCGGAATCCGGCATTTTGTAGCATTTCTCAATAGGCTCGGTGGATGGTTGGGTGAGTGTCACCATTAAAGGCCTTATGAGTGCTTGTAATAAAGATTTTGATATAAATATGAATTCAGTAGGAGTGCGGTCTTATGTAGACCTCACTAAGTAAGCGATGTTTGTTGATATCAGATTGAGTTTGACGAGTTAGGCCAGTCGGTTTGGGAAAACCTATGTTACCTAGGAAGAGAAAACTATCCGATAAGGGTTCTAATAGGTCATCCCTAGATGAGGTCATAGTATGCCCGTATGAGTGAGCCGAGGGACTATATGCCCTTTGTGGGTGATAGTGGCCTTTCGAGACGGGGGCAAAGCCTCATCCTCGAACCATCACATAACATGCATTTATGATAGCCGTTTTGAGAAAGTGAACCATCTTTCAGGGTGAATCTTATGCATGTGTGAGAGATACCCCTAGGCGCCATATGGGCTATGGTCGCATCAGGTTTAGATGATCTTGGTACTTCTCTAAGGGAGAAATTGAAATCCACAAACTCGGATTACGACCACTTGGCTCATCGGCCAAACTTTGGTGATCCATTAATGTGCCCTTGCATGGACTGTGGGTCATGGAAAACACTAGGTCAGTTTGATAAAGTACGTGTGGACCGTAGTTCACAGTAGAAGGTGGAGTGTGCCAATGTTTATTTATTTAATTCTTAAACCATATGGATAATTTTCTCATCTAATGAATTTAATTATGTTTCTTTTAATGATATATGATTTTTAGAATTATTATTTGAATTTTTCTAGATCTCTAGATATTTTATTTATCAAATTTGAATTTATAAAAAACATATATATTGATTTTAGATTGATTTAATTATTTGTATTGGAGTTTATGAATTTCTAAAAATAAGCTAATTTTTAATTAATTGTAATATTGTATGGGAGGCCCAATATGTTAATGGGCCTATCATTGTATGTGGATGGGGCCCATGAAGTACGACTTAGGGTGGCATGCCCCACCCCAATGAATCTTTCCTTGTGTTAGTTCAAGCTTTGACTTGAAGAGAAAGCTTTGAAGTTTTTTGGAAAGATTTGCTTTGAGGAAGCTTTCAAAGGTTTTTTTGGACAGCATGAGAAGGCTTGTGCATAATTTTTGTAAAAACTATATTATGAATAGAATTATTTTATTTAATTTTTATTTATGGAAAAATGATTTAGGAATGGGGGATAATGGTTCTAGCACCT